GTTTGGAGACTTGACAGCTTGATAATTCGAATTGTTTGAATTGAATTGAATTATCGTTTGCGACTTGCTTTCCCAGATCTCAAACTTGGGTAATTAAACCACTGAAGTTATAAAGACGATAACGACAATGGCGCGGAATGTCACACAATTGTAACGTACATTCGAATGGTTATAAACAAAGTAGTAAATCAAAGACGAACAACTTGTGAAGTAAATGAATAAATATTTGTAAGCACAAAATGATTAGTAAAGCAATGGATGGTACAACAGACTGCAGTGAATACAAGTGAATTTGAATATAGATTTAACAAATATTGTTGGAGGATTGTGAAGGGTAGATTTGAGATAAGATAACGACATAAGGTGTTTGGTTATGTGCATATAGGTGTGTGTTGTTATGGCGTGATTTTGTTTGGAATTTTTTGATGTGTATATAAGTGTGTGTTACAGTGACCTGATTTTGTTTGGAATTTTTTGCGACTGATGTTCAGTCGCAACAGCCTCGAAACATCTTGTAACTGAGCGATCAGTTTCAGCCGTTCATGATGGATACATCTCGTCACGGGCCTGTGGGGATTACATGTCTGGAGCTGTAAGCATTTATAGTAATTGGGTGTTGCGTGGAACGATCGAAGGTACCAATGACCACTCAGCCCAGAAGCAACTGGCGTGCAATAATTATATGCATATGTTGAATGGCAACATATCTCCTGCCCATTTCTCGCTTCATCTGAGAGGAGATGCGGGACAAGACCTTGGAGTTAAGGTTATTCTCATGCCCGAGTATGTTCCGGTGGTGCCTTCTGAGTATGAAGAGCAAGATGTGTCAGTTTAGTAGCCGATTGGTTCAAGGAAAGTCGCTCTGTCTGATGCTGTCGTGTCCGCGATGCAAAATCCATGCGGCCTTGGTGATAATCAAATAGTCGAACAACGTAGTAGAATTGTTACCGCAATCCCAGAGCGTCAGCTCCTCCAAACTCTCAAACGATTTGCTTGTGGAAAGGAAGACATTCATGTTGTTGATCAGTATAGTGCCTACAAGTTGTGGCTGTCAACCATGCCAAACCCAGCTGCTCTGATACCGCCGCCGACCGATGAGTCTCGGCCAGTAACTGGAAATATGACAGTTCGTAGGTGCATGAGAAGCTTTAAGATGCGTGTTGTCTCCTGCTCGCTCGCTGATTATTTCAGCTTTTTGCTTGAAGGATCGCTTGAAGCCACATAGGATCAAGGGGGTTCGGTCACTATAATTGTTGGGCCGTCTGTGATTTCCAAGATGGTTAGAGTTGAAATAGTGACCTCAGTCCAAACAACCCAGTTGGCACTAGAAGCAGTGGCCCTTAATGCTAGTCAGTTGCTCGAGATTGAGGTTGAATGCGGCGGAAGGAAGTTTGAAGTCTTGCCTTGTTTGGCAACGAGAGTATGAGGACTACACCTGGATACTTCCTGATTTCAAGATACAAACAACTGCTAATCTGCAAATTGTCGAGGTCGTTAAGAAATCCCTCATGCAAAGTGAAGTATTAGATCTTTTTAGAGTTAGATCTTTTCTGCTGGCTGACTCAAACGGATGGATGTTCCAACCCATATTGGATTTCTTCGGTTTACTCGAAACTCAAGGAGTGTTATCCTTTGATGGAACAATGGTTGGAACAGCGGCAATTGAAGATAAACGACTACGGATGATAGCGGCCGCTGATGGCTTGCACTGGCTTTACGCTGCTCGAGAGTTGGGGTTGATGCAAGTGGTCGATCTACCTAGAGCCTGTGATGACGTGTTCCCCCATCCCGATGCGACTGCTATTGAGGTGGGAAACATTCAGGAGGAAACGAATAGGCGCATAGGAGTGTATGTACGAGCGTTGACGACTGGCAGGTTGACTTTTGGCACCAAGGAGGTTCAATTCCTCTCGGACGACTGGCCCGGGTGGGATTGAAAACATTGAAATTCTGTTTGGTATGCCCTATGCAGCTGGTGATAATGTATTGAGAGAATGGTGGCAGTATGCAGAAGATGAATGTTGAATCACACGTCACCTCAGGAAGTGAAATGTTGCGAAAATATGCAGATGTCTTTGCTGAGCTTGGACGATGTAAAAAAGATGGTGAAGTGGTTGTCCACTTTGTTGAGACCTCTGATGAATGTGCCCTCGATGACTATGATCGGATGAAGCTTGTCAACAAAGATTGTCATCGTACATCAGCTGTGATTAGACCGTTTCCCGATAGGCACATTCTCAATCGAACGAACCACCCATGAGATTGTTGAATATCAGTCCAACTTTTATGTATTCACAGCTGATGGCTCTGAGTTGCAGCAATTGCCGGTCTGGGTAAGGGGAAGAACCAGGAGGCTAGACGCCTCGATTGTTGCGAGTGGTCTGCTCTTGACTACGTCGTCATCAAGGAAGGGCGCGTTGCTGCTTTTCAGATAGAGTACAACACTCTCGCCTATGAAAGGTTCTCAATCGGTGTCTGTTGGAAAGCTATTACAAGCGAAAGGTACTTCTGTGATTATTGTCCGTCTGTGCCCGGTACTGCGATCCCTATTGTAGGTGTGGATACGCCACCATCCACTACAGGAACACAGTCACCCACGGGCCCGACCAGCTTAGCCGACAACAGCCAAAACACAATCAGACCTCCTTCCAATGGCGAGAACGGTTAGAATGCAGAGATAACAGTTCAGATTTCCCAAACATCAGTCATTCCACCCACCAGTCTAGTCAGCGAAGTTGCCTTGACAGCCAAGGGCAGCGAACATATTTCGGAACAACTTGGTCCTTCTGGCACAGGTTGTCAGACGCCAAGTGCTACGCAAAAACATAGGGACTACTCCTCAATCCATTCCAAGTCGGCCTCATCACGAACCACAGACGTCGGTGTCAGTTCGACCGCAAAAATGGATGATATATCAACTCCCAGGGAGACAGGTCAGATGTAAATCTGATTATTTGGATGTACAGTTGCCCTAGATATACCATTCAAAATGTCTTCACTGACTCAAACGACTATTTTTACGTGCGCTCCTTCCTCTCGAACCAAGTGATAGTTCCCGAAAAGTGGAAAAACTTTCGTGTCTTCTCAAGCTCTGAAGATATGTGGCTGCACAGTCCAGCGGGCTAAGGATATTGCCTGGCAGTATCGAGCCTGTCAACACACTTCACGAACGTTATTTTGTGAGGCCCAAGCCGATTCTAGCGTTAAATACACTCCGCCACATCACTTAGACTGTTTCAGCAGTGTTTCCGGGCTCTCGCGCTTGGACGAGATTAATGGATCTGTACGCTGATCTTGGATTTACTCATGTCATTACCCGAATTGATCGGGTGTGTCGTCCCTTTTTTGTTTTGACGCCACAATTGAGTGACCTAAAGTTATTTCAGCTATAGCGAAAAGTGTCGCCGGTCATATCGCCGAGGCTATTCTGTATATTATTTATGCCACTTATATTCAGTCAACTCAGAAGATAGATTAAACCCTCAAGGAATTGTCCACATGTGAATGAACTGAGAGATACAAACATTTATAAACGCAAATGTACTTATTTATTTGTGTACATAAATTTCATTTATTTTCTTATATAAATGCACACGATATGATATATTAATAATATACTGAAAATAGATAACATGCATAAAATACAACGTAATGTGAATGACAGTTTTCCATAAAATCGAATCAATCATTTTCAAAATGAATGAGGACACTTCGTGTAAATTTAACATTCATTATTCGTGATGAAAATTGAGATTTCACAGTCAGTAATGACAATAACATATGTATTACTACATTATACCTGTCATGTATTGCATTAGTGTTAGATATAAATGATGTTGACGTCTGTCGCGATAAATAATCAAACCAATGCTTGCAGATATAACCTGAAACAATAAATATAAGGAATTAAACGAGCCACGTCAGCACAAGTGTCAATCGCAAATCTCATATGAGCGATTCACTTCATATGTATGAAAGAATTGGCGATGACAGATTGACAGCTTATTTAAGCAGCAAGAGCATATATCACATAAATATTCATATCATAAAGTATATTGAGTATATCACACACTCATGAATGTTGGATATCCTGATTGTGAGGCGAAAACACACTTCTTCAAGAAACAATAACGGATTTGTTTTTTGAGGACTGTCGATGACCACTGGAACGAACTTATATCTAGTGATAAAAGAAAGTGATTAAAAAAACAAGTGATTAAAAAATCTACATTTTACTGAAAAATCAAGTGACATTCTCATATTANTTTCACATTCTGCAATTAAAACTTATCTGAAACAATAAGCAGTTGAGATTTCAGTTGAATGTTGTTATGATTTTAATCCATAATGATAACGTTAATACTAATGCAATAAGAGCAATACTACATTCTTTTAATATCATGCTCGCTCCACCAGTTTATTCATTTCTGTTCAGATCACAGAAGAAGGCTATTCATCGTTTGGAAGCGATTGAACAAGTGAAAAGTAATGTTTGGAACGTGATTACGATCGTTGGTTTTATTGTTCTCGTTACTTTACTTATTACTACTAGTGTGATAAAGACGGTGGTCAGCAGTATTGCAGAGGCTGTATGAGATAGAATACATGTTGCTGTTGTTATTATTGTTGTTGTTGTGTTTATTGATGAGAGAAGAGAGACTTATTTTTGGATTTGGGTTTATTTCTTGAGCATATCATCTAGATATCATTGTTGTTGTTATTGATGTTGTTGTTTGTTGTTTATTACTGCTGCTGCTAGTATTATTATTATTATTATTTGTAGTTTTGAAGTGCCGGTTTGTGCCATTCAATATGTGATACGCCAACATTCTTTAACTTGACGTACATGCTGTTATCATTTCCATGTTGTTAGAGTCCACAAATAACAACAATTATGCAGTATCATTATTTAGATAAGATTATATGAATTTTTAGAATATATTAATCAAACACATCATCTCCACAATGAATTTTATATAAGCGCTTTTATTCCATTTTTTTCAGCAAATATTTTCCGAATGCGTATATAAATGACCGATTTATTGAAATCGCTCACAACAAAACGCGTCCAACAGAAATCGCTTGTTACACGCTGCGAAAATTTCCATTTCTACCAAAGACTGACAGAGTTTTTCGTGGTTTTTCTTCTCATTTCTTCTCGTTTCGAGCAATCCGATCAATTGTATTCGTTTTCGTTTTGCCTTAAAAATTCAATTTCATCCTTCATTTCACTTGCATTCAATATGGTGTTGATCATTTTCCATATTCTCAATGAGTCCTCATTCAACCAGGTTCCAAAAAAAGAGTCACAATTTCTGCGCATGCGTAGTTAAAAATCTCAATATCTCCATTCTCAGATGCCGAAATTCTATTAGACTGGAATGAGACAGCACACAATTGACAGCTTTTTCAAATCCATTGTTACATCATGTTTTATCCCATACATAATAATTCATCCCTGCTTTCCAACAAATTCCCTACGTCAACACTTTGGCTGTTTCTCGTTGATTTGCGAGGTGTTACTTTAAGGTGATATGGTTATTTTCATGTGCGAAGACATTTCTATTAACGTGTTGTTGTCATTGCTATGCGGTGTATTGAAACCCGCTCGATATGACTGCTATCAGAGTTGATGGAATTTTAACCACGAATTCTTTCGATGTGCCATTTCCCAGAACTTCCTCCTCACATTCATTTCTCGTTTTGCTGTGAAATCCTTGAATTCTTTACTATAATTTGTATGAAGCAAACACGAATCAACCAGTACGTCATATCATTCATTCCATCGCACACGCCTGTTCTATGTTATTCATTCACACTTTTTGTTCGGTGTCGATCACCCAGTGGTACCGAGAACGCAAAAGTTTACCTACATTTCAGCATATAGCCAAACGGTTTATGAATCAAATCCGAACATGTACGCATCAGTGTTGATTATATCTGTTGCTTCATCACCCTGTTCCACACTGAATTTTTCCCGTTTACGAGCGAAATTTATTTTCGGAATTGTGAACAAAAATGGGTTCGATCAAACTAAATCGTCTCAGTTCTTGCCAACAGATGGCTGAATGAATTGGCTCAAGTTTGCCTCACAATCGAATACTTTTGAAAATCAAAAGTGACAAAAATTTTGAAACATGACGAATTATTTATTTATTCTGCATTAGAAATGATGCGTAGAATACGAAAGAACAAGGAAAATAAGGGAACAAATCAAATGAGAGGAAAAAATGCTCAGTTAGCGACAGCATGTTTAACTTTGGGGCTATTGCTGGTGTCCAACAGTGAGCAAGTGGAACATCATCCGCTGGCGATTTTTTGGAATTACGAAAGTATGGTCCATTCTGATATCAAGTAAAAAATTATCAAATTTATCCGTAAAGTTTAATCGTTTGTCATCATTATTCTTCGTAAGTATACATTAATCAAATCAGTAATCACTGCTACCTTTTTTTTGCAAGCAGTTTCTGCAGTTCAGTTGAATCACCTCTTGAGTTTTTCATTGTCTCGAATAAGTTTTCATTGATCATTTGTTGAATTAAACCACTTCATTCATTGATCATTGGTTCACGCAAAAAGTTCTCCAAATTCAAAATCGATTCGTAAAATTTGGATAATATTCCCCCAAACGATCAAAGTACAGTATAAAGATACGATATCGGTTGAGTTTTGCGTGATGAGAGTTGTTGAATTGTAATATTATATGCACATTAAAGTGAACGTCTACAAATGCGTTGTGTGTCTTATAAATGCATAAATTTATACGTATGTTATATACATCTGAAGAAAATTATTCCGTTTTTGTATTAAGCGTACGATACGATCGCATATAAACGTACACAAATAGGATCGCTTTTATGAGTATTTGTATAAATACATGTAAGATTACTGTAATATGCTACCGCTGCTAGCAAATACATGCATATGAAACAATTACTTTGAATACATATGTTTATATGTATAAATATAGAAATATAAGGAGAAGAAAAAGGACAGAAATAAAATATTTTAGAATATTGTTTCGTATCGAAAATTTATATACGCTCATATGATGTTTCATTGTGTACTGTGTAAAGGAAATATATTAATTGTAAGGAAAACAGAATGCATAATATAGCGATTGTGTTGTTTGTTGTTTTTTGAACACTAAGAAAATGTTGTTAAATACGGAATAATAGATAACAAAATATTCTCGATGAATGCTACTGAATGCTAAGAAGCATTTTGTGACGTTCACCAAAGAAACAAAAAAAAACATTTTGAGCAATGATCACAGTGCCACATGTAGGCGATGATGGTTGAATCAAATATGTGAACGATATTGGATTACGGTCTGCTCGGGTGATTACTCATTAGTATATATCGTAATATCGGCAGACCTAAACATCTATATGCACGATGCCATTAAAAACATTTGATATCGAGTTTTTTGGTTATGTACTTGACAATTTTTGGAGTCCCGTCAAGTAGAAATCATAACGAGTCAGTGAGTTTGTCAGTGTCGTCTTCAAATTCACTGAAGTTGATCGAGGACTATGTTATGCGCTCAATTGTTTCGGAAACGCTCCAATTTGTGCACTTTCACCGACAGCATTGATCATATGAGACTGTCGATGACTGTTTTTAGGATTTTTTCCAGGAGAGGGTGCAAAATGGTCTGATCCAGAAAAATAGCTGAGTTTTGGGGTGAACTTTGTAATGCTTGTTTTATCTATCTTCTCTGTTCGCTTCTTTCTTTATACTTTCTTGTCCCAATTCCTTCTCCGTTCCTCCTTTTTTCTTTTCCTTTCCTACTTCTTTTCACCTTTTCTTCCAACTTCGGGCTGCCTGCTTTGTATGAAGCGGCAGTCATAACCTGGAATAAAAAACCTTTCATTCTGAAACCAACTATATACTACTAAATACTCACTTCATTGGCGAAAAATATGGTGTAAAGAAATAATTTTATTGACTCCGTGAAGAAGATGAGCGGTTGGTCCCTAAAAAGAGATAGTCGTCGAGAGCAGAAGGGACTATAGATTGGTCAGTAACGTATCTATCTCATGAGCCATCGTTTATCTTTGTATCTGAATAAAATGACTGAATGTACAACACTATCGTACATGTTTTTTGTTAGTGGTGATAGATGTTATTTGTTGTTATTATTGTTATTTGTGTTTATCGCAGCACACAAGTAGCACGAAGAAATGATTCTATCGCATTTCTGCTCACAGCAAATTATTCAGCCATGATCCATCTAAATAAATATCAAATATGAGCGATCGTAATCTGACATAACATTGCCTTTTGAAAGCGCATATAAATTTGATCACACTGCAGTAAGATTGAAACTGTTTTGAAGAAGATAAACTAATAATAATAATAATAATAATAATAATAATAATAATAATAATAATAATAATAATAATAATAATAATAATAATAATAATAATGATAATAATAATATGTACATATTATATATGACTATGCGATAAGATG